TTATTAAGAATGGGTGCAAGCAAAAAAAAAAAAAAAACAAAGGAGCGAATAAAGTTTTAAAACTCGTTGTTGTGAGGATTGCTTTAATCTGACAGGTTTTTCAACTTCTGCTTTTATATTGCTCCCATCAATGCTTGGTTTCGTGAAATAAAGGAATAATRCGTTTGAATGTATGAAAAGTGGGAGTAATCTTAAGTGACCCTCATCAACAACATAGCAACAAATGGATGCCAATGTATGAAGAAGTTTATTTGGTCCATTACTCARTTTCTTTTCTCTTTTTTTATAAGTCTTGCACTGCTTTTACTGAGAAGCGAGGATTTTACCAAGAATACTCAAATATTATAGAGTTATGCTTTTAAAATRTTTGATAGTTTGTAATTCGAGATATCTGAAAAAGTATTTCAACATTATTAAAAGTACTTGCAAGCTTGGAACGAGACTYGCAAAGGCATTTTGTGATTTATATGTCATATTTTTCGAATGAGAACTTCTCGCTCTCATTTGACGATCGTTTTAATTCACACATTTTAATTTTGGTTGTTGTAAAGGGTAGTCCATTTCGAGGTTTCTTGCTGAAAAAAAAAAAAAAAACACAGAAACTTAAAATTTAATTCGTAATGTTTATTATCATTTGAAAGAACATTCYTTCCCATTTATTCTTTGATTATCTTTTTCAAATGTCGGCTATRGCCACATCTCAGATAGTCCATTTGTTGAGATCAATTTTCGATGACTCGTTAGAGCATCTCCACTGGTAACTGATGAATGACACGCGTGATATTTGCTCCAAAAACTGAATCAAAGCGGGATTGCCCGCATAAACCTTACAGACCCTCACAGGAAAAAGTCAAACGGTGTCTTGATAAATCCACTGATGAATGGAAAGTGACATCGTCTTGTTGAAACCAAATATCGCCGAGATAACAAGCTTTAATTTCAGGCATCAAATAGTCGGTTATCATGGCGCGATAAGGGTCACCATTGACAGTTATGTTCTCAGCGGCAACATTTTTGAAAAAATATGGGCGACTCATCGGACCATCACCGACCCACAAACCACACCAAACTGCTGTTTTTTCGGGATGAAATGACAGCTCTTGAATATCTTCTGGTTATTTTTCCTCCCAAATGCGACAATTCTGCTTCTTTACACACCCATTGAGCCAGAATACGGCTTCATCGCTGAACAAAATTTTTCCCACAAACGTTGGTTCTTCCTCGAAATTTTCAAGAGCCCACAGAGCGAACCGATGTCATTTAGAAAGGTCGTGCCTTTTCAGCCCTTGTGCAAGCTTTTGTACACTTTCAATTAAGATCTCGGGGTACAATGCTCCAAGTCGCTCCATACGTCAGTTCGAGTTGCTGCGAACGGCGCCGAACGGACTCTCTACGATCTTTGTGTACACTCTCAGCTACGGCTGATATATTTTCTTTACTGCGTGCTCTACGTGGTCTACTAGGTGGAATATTATCCAAATATGAATGATGGGTCTTTAAATGCGACAATTTCGTGTATAAAGTACCCATTTAACCAAATATGAGCTCCATTGATGAAAAACAAAGTTGCTAAAGAGAGTATTATAGTTTTGTTCACATAACGGTTGTTTGTAAGTCCTAAAAGTAAAAGAGTCAGATATAGGGTTATATATACCAAAGTGATCAGGGTGACGAGTAGAGTTGAAATCCGGATGTCTGTCTGTCCGTCCGTCCGTGCAAGCTGTAACTTGAGTAAAAATTGAGATATCCTGATGAAACTTGGTACACGTATTTATTGGCTCCATTAGAAGGTTAAGTTCGAAGATGGGCAAAATCGGCCCACTGCTACGCCCACAAAATGGCGGAAACCGAAAACCTATAAAGTGTCATAAATAAAGATATTAAAATGAAATTTGGCACAAAGGATCGCACCTGTCTCTTATACACATCTAGATGTGTATAAGAGACAGGCCATATACAGTTCAAAAATGGAAGAAGTCGGACAATAACCACGCCCACCTCCCATACAAAGGTTATGTTGAAAATCACTAAAAGTGCGTTAACCGACTAACATAAAACGTCAGAAACACTAAATTTTACGGAAGAAATGTCAGAAGGAAGCTGCATCCAGGTTTTTTTTTAAATTGAAAATGGGCGTGGCGTCGCCCACTTATGGACCAAAAACCATTTCTCAGGAAGTACTCAACCGATTTCAATGAAATTCGGTATATAATATTTTCTTAACACCCTGATGACATGCACCAAATATCGGTGAAATCGGTTCCCAACCACGCCTGAAATCAAGATTATCACTTTATCATGCGAGAGTATAAAATTTTCGGTGACACCCGAACGTTGCCCTTCCTTACTTGTCTTGTATAAAACGGGATCGGAGGCCATTTCGTTATGAGCGCACTCACCGAACATGAAGTTTTCATTTGTGAACGAGTTGGATTTTGTAGGCCCACAAACCAAGATCCTTTAGCTTAGTTAGCACTACGGTGCACTTTCTTCCGCTTTCAGCAGCGCACCGGCCATAATATAGAGTTAATCTATGCAACAGCCGAATAAAATCAACTACCACATAAGAAAATACCAAAGGGAACCAAATTGGCTACAACCCTGCACCAAATTCATAACAATCCCAGCTTTGGTTTGTGTGCACCGCTGGTTATTGTGCAGTCTTTGTAGAGAATAATTAATAAGGATGACAGTTACTTACTTGTACTCAGATCAAGTTATTTGTTATTAAGGGGTCTCGGGAAATTTTGATATTATTTACAGATAGTCTGGCTGCATATCAACACCAAAAGCTCCTTGGTGGTAACTCGTGTGAAGACGGTTGAATTTATACCGATCTTCTTCGATACTCTGGTCCATAGCAGCAATAGCATCTTCAGAGCGCACTGTATAGCATCTCTGAGAATAAGCATTGCCCACGAATTATCGACTCTGCTAGGAATGTGGCACGCAGCCCTCCCGAACCATTATTTTGGTAATAAATTTGGAATTTCCTACTTTCACCTATTGATATTCTTGTAACCGTACTATCTTGAACTTATTTAATTACCGCTATCTCCAACATATAAAAATATATGTATATACATTAATATTCTTACAAACTCGTTGCTTGATCTTTGCTTTCCGCTTCTCAATTGAGTATTGTTGTGAAATTAGGTCAATGACTAATACATATTGCCTTAGTTATCAGCTGTCGCAGACATTAAATAGCTGTGCATGCGAGCTCACGTACGCATGTGGGCAGAAGCAAATTGATTTTACATGCAGCACATGCTGAGAAAGGCAGATGGCGGAAGGTTAGCACAAAACTTTTGCTTTCTCCTGGAAAGCATATGAAAATGTCGAAATAAATGGAAGCCAATTTAAACCGACAGGTGGATGAAAAGTGAAAAATATTTTTATTAATATATGAACATTATTAATAAAACTGCATGTTTGTAAAARTATATGCCCATATGGGTGCAGAAATCAAAACAGTTTGGAAGAAAAATTATGTTATTATGAATAGTGATAGATGCGACACTATCAAATATTAAAGTTTTCAATAAGTGTAGATAAGTAACTGATGACAAAAAAGTGTTATCCGATTTGAAAAATTTCTTAACAGATTGTACCGTTATCTTAGACAGTAACCGATGGCGAATTTTGTAAAGGTATCTCGTCAATTGCAAAAGATTTCCCARAAATGAACCGCTTTATGGAGAGAATTGAACGTATGCAAAATTTTAGAATGTTAACTGAAAAATTGAGRGACTAGTTCGAACATGTGACAAAATCCAATAAGAATCTTAGTTTCACAGCTGAGACTGCCAGTCCATTGTTATATCTAAAACTCCTAAATATTGGCGAAAGTGCTTCATACTTTGAGAAAACGCTTTGAGTCAGTCACAAATCTCTGGAGGCGACTAATATCACTTTCGGCTCACTCCTCCCAGCTTCACATGGTGTTGCTGCAATAATGGATTGTAGCAACAGGTCATCCACTAAGTGCAATCATTACTCAAATATCTTGCAAGTGCGGTAAAGTTGCAGTTAGTACAGCTAACATTCAGTCGTACGCCAGGGCGTATGAGTAATGCGCTGGTAAGTGGTAGAAGCTAATGGTTGGCGTATCTGCATATCTACTCAACATTCAAGGCGCGGAGTATTACACACCTAAATGTATACTTACGCAATGTCTTGTGAACTTGCACCGCAGTAAATACTATTAGGAAATCTTTTGAAATCATATGGATGCTAAAAGTATTGAATTAATCTTCTGTTACAGTAGACCAAAGTATTTATTGTGAGTGTATGATTGACTCGTATATTTACTAAAGATATGTTGAAGATYTATTTATTCATTCAAGAAACCGAAATATATCGTGAAGAAACAAGACATTCATATTTTCTTTTGGCTATCCAAGCGKGTAGACAAGAAGTGCCCAACTCTGTAATAATTTCAGTAAAGGAACTCAAGCTTTGAATTTGTTATTTGGGTGTGCCTTCTTTTTCAAGAAGTGCCGTTTCTACATTTAAAATAACAGAGAGTGCAATACATATATAAAGGGTGGCTGAAGCAGTGAAAATCTGTGATGACGTTGGCAAAGTGATGCCCAAAGTTACTCAATATGGTGTTATGTTCCAAAAATGACTACAATGTGTCTATAATATTCTTGACTCAAATTTTGAATACCAACAACATTTTGTGTTCCTTGGACTTTAGGTTTTATAATGCTTAGAAGTATATCTTAATAAACAAAGTTGGGAACTATCGTTTAGGTTACTTCGATTTGCAATCGAAAATTGAGAAATTTAAGTATTTACCGAAGTTGTAATTACCATATCATTGTTCCGGTTAATTAAATTTAGTGTCCTTAAGCATTGGCATATATTGMTTATTTAATTTTCTATGTGAAGTTTTTAAAACTGACCAAATTTTTAACTACTTCTTTATTTATGTTACTATCAAAGGCACTTCACATAACACCGCTACAAAATTTTCAATTATCTCTTTGCAGCTACCCTCGCGCAACAACCCGCAATAGTTTTGGCCTCCGCCGGCACTGAAAGTTACTCGTCGCRCCCCGCCGCCGCCAATGTACTCAGMTATGCAGCGCTACACCGCAACAGTCAGCAATACACACCGCAGCAGTTACAGCATAGTCATCAACAGCAGCAATCAAGCAATATCAATATGCTGGACTTCCGTGGYGCATTCGTGGCGCCCACAGCTTCGGGTGAGCAACAGCCGGAGCTGACCACTTACCCACCGCCGTCATTTGATTTTGGCATGCCACGAAATATAACAGCGCGTTCGGGTCAAACGGCAGCGATAAATTGTCGGGTCGAACATTTGGGTGATAAATCGGTGAGTTTGTGTTTGTGTAAGGTGTTGTGCACGTATCATTGCTTATAAATGTTGTAAATTTTTGTAATACCCTGTATGTACATATGTTTTATTTACTTACTTTGCTTCATTTTAGTGTTTACTTTTACTCAATCCTACAATACTCTTCTCTCTGCAAGCTCTTCAGCTATTGCCTTTCTTCACACTTTAAACTTACTTCCTTGCTTTATTGAAATTTCATATTTGTATTTGCTTCTTTGGTTACTTTTAAACTACTTTCCTTTTTGATGGAGACTTTTCTATGAATTTCTCTTGAATTTAAATTTTAATTATTTACTGTGAAAATATCTTGAGGCGCGAAATTTCAATTTGATTTCAAAYGATTTAAGCTAGCAAACAAGTTCTCTACAAAAAAATGTAATATTCTGTGGCTTGGTTGCATGCTGTTTGTGTGTTTGCAAGTACTATGAGCGCCTTTTGAAATTAAAACTTTATTATTTTCAATAAATTGAAATTATTTAAATTATATTAGATGTCGTATACTTGTACATATAGAGAGTGCTACTAATCACATTGTGTCATATAGTGTTAGGAAGGTGAGATTTTAAGCTTCACTTAAACAAAAACATAAAATTGGGAGAAGTTGAAAAAAAGTTACAGCTGTTCGAAAATGAGTGAAAATAATRAAGAAACTCSCTAAACAAATTTTGACATTTTTGTGTAAAAAGGGGAAAAATTCCACGCAAGCCACCAATTAATTAGACGATGCTGAATCAGTTCGTGGTTCGCTCGCTTCCGATCTGGAAATTTCGATGTGAAAGATGCACTTCGCTTTGGTCGACCTGTCGTTGAAAAATTCGATGAAATTATAGAAGAGATTAATCAGGACCATCACATAAACAGCCATGACATCCCTAAATAACTTAACATCAAACGGTTTTGAACCATTTAAAAAAGGCTGGCTACAAAAAGAAGAACAGGAAACGTAAAGTGGATCAATGGCGACAATAATGTGCGAAAAACATGTTCCAAACGTGTTGAAGCTCAACAAATGGCCGCAAAACCAAGATTGGCGCTTCGAAAGGTTATGCTTAGTGTTGGCTGAGCTGGGAAAGGAATCATCCCCTATAAGCTCCTCCTGCACGGTCGAATGATTGATTCCACATTTTAATGCCAATAACGAGCGAGCAATCGAGAAAAACAGCCAGAACTGATCAACAAGAAGGGCTTCGTCTTCCATCAGGGCCACGCTAGACCACACACATTTTTGATGACTCGGGAAATACTGGTAGAGCTTGGCTGTGAAGTTTTATGCATCCACCATATAGCTCTGATCTTGCACCATCCTACTACCATTTGTTTCGTTCAATGCAGAACTGCCTTAATGGAGTAAAGTTGGCTTCAAGAGAAGCCTGTGAAAATTACTTGTTGGAGTTTTTCGCCGAGAAAGTAGAAAAGTTTTGAACTAATGGAATAATGTCTTTAGCGGAAACATGCAAAAAGTGGTCGACCAAAATTTTATTTGGTTCATTAAAGTTCATTATAAATAAAAGAAAATAACTTGAAGTTTAATTAGAAATACCAAAAGATTTTTTCGACTACCCAATATTTCATCTGCAATACGATATTAATCTAACAATTTGATTGCGTTAGATTTTCGCAACAAGTAAAAGTCTTTCGAGAAAATAAATTTTTCTCGCAGCTTTTTCAAATTTATATAGTTTTAGAGACTCTTATATTCAATTAAAATTTCTACATGGATGGCAACCATACAGAGAATATTTGCTTTTATTTTTAATAATTTCTTAAACTTACATAGCTTGATAGCAATATTATAGTTTTTTTTGCATTTAAAGATGATGGTTTCTTGTAATTTTCGAAAAAGTGCCAACATCTTGGTTTTCAAATAATGATCTCTTTTTTTTTTTTGCTTTTTTGACTGATTCCAAAACATTTCATGTTGACTCTTGATTTGTTGAACTCTGCCAAAGTAGGGTCCATAAATTTAAATAATCGGTTGTATGGGAGTTATGTGATATAATTATCCGAAAAAAATAAATTTCCCAATTAAAAATTGCCAGCTTGAAACCGATGTTAGACACATAATCTCTTAGGCCAAGTTGATCGGAATCTTCAGTAGAATAAGCATTTCCCGGATATGCTGTTTTATAGAAAAAAATCGACCCGCTCAATGTGCATACCGCTATCAATAATACCTCTCGAGATATTCGGCTTTTTATTTAAGGTTGTGTGGAATTTTCATAGATTTTTTATTACATACCAAAAAAAAAAAAAAAAAAAAAAAAAAMAAAAAAAAAAAAAAAAAAAAAAACACCCTAATGCATACCCATACAAGTGGAAAGGCATGATGTGACCTTTGAGATTTGTTCGTTGACCGAGTACTTACTCAATATTCTACATGATCCATCATCCACTTATTAGAAATAATGGTTATAGACTCTAGTACTGGTTCCCAGAAAGATCAGAATGCATAAAAATAGCAATAGTATTTGAGCTGAAATGTTTAACATTTCCTCATCACTACCAACTTTTGCTGCTGAGTCAACAAAAATATTTGCCTTCTCTTTGTGCATATTTATACGGATTTGCTAATAATTTTACTGTTATTTCCTCTCTGACCCATAAACATGAAGATTAAGAAAAGTGATTGACTTTTTGTTTTTCTGCAAATACCAACAAACGCAAAACTTACATGCCAACAACAAAAATGACTTCAACCGTTAGTTTGTCGATTTTTGCATTTCACTTCTTGCACTTTGCGCCAATCGGCAACTGGCCTCTAACTCCCAGCGGCAAAGATTGCAGTTTTTTTCTCTGTCCTGCTGTCTTCACTTCACGATTCCTTTGGCTTGTGCCAGGGCAATTTGGTTCATCAAATGAAATTCCCGGAAGCAATATTGGTTTTTGCTCTATCTGCGCTCAACTCGACTCACAGCGTAAAGCAACTCGTTTCAATTTCTTGCATAGATTTAGTTTTTGTTTTTGGTTGTGCTGCTGTGTTTTTAGAAACTGATCTGTAAGCTTGTTGTTTGCATAATTTCGTCCGAGTTGAGTTATGTAACTGAAGTGAAAAACAACACTCACTCGCTATGCGTAATTATTGACCAATTGTATATATGTATGTATTTAAGAAAATATAATATATGCAAAAAATATATGCTTATAGTTACATAATGTTACTTCAATATACTATGTACCTAGATCCTTAGTAAATACTTATTAATTAAATCGTCTTGAATGTAATATTTAATTTGACTGGTTCTCTGATATTCACTTCAGTTGTTTGTTTAACTGCTTCATCTTTGCATTTCGTAACGAATTTTATTAATTAAGTAAATTATAAGTAATAAATTATATATTCTTTTTAATTAAAAATATTGCCTTATTATTCTTTGCAGGTTTCATGGATCCGAAAACGTGATTTACATATCTTAACCGCAGGCATTCTGACTTATACGTCCGACGAACGATTTCAGGCAAGTACTACTTTCGCCCAAAGAATACAATTTCACAGAAGCTCTCAAGTTATTGACACTATAGCTGAATTTCTTATCGATACTCTCATATACTATATAAGTAAATATCGGTTAAATATCGGAAAATGTTTATGGGAATAGAATCCAATTGCATCTTAAAAGGACCATCCTGTCTTAACAAATTTACTAGCAAACTCCAGATTCGCTAATTGCACGTCGAATGATTTCTCGCACTTGGCTTATAGGCATAAACATGATTCTTGAAATACCTCTAGAAAAATTGGTCTCAAGAATCAAAAGGCATGAAATATGTGATGTGAATTGATGAGCTCGTTTCTTGATATGGTGCGGTCTCTAAAATAAGTTGTTAAGAAAAATATATGACGTCGTGATTACTATTAGTTCATATTGACGTGGGGAATCAAGAAGTCGGGAATAATTTATTTATAAAGCCGAATCTTACCGAATACTCTGATTAATTCATTTATGCTGACGAATTACATATTATAACTCTGGCATAGAAAACCCACTAGACATCAATTTTTTTTTTTAATGAAAGATGTCTTTTTTCTTTAGAAATACAACAGAAAACAGAAAACTTCGCCAGTAGCCTTTATTCTTTGTGAGGTCACGCCAGTTATACAGACATGTCTCATCGCTCTTGGTTTCTTCGTTGGTTGCTCCCGTTGCCCACCCAAGGCTACCAATTCAAATCAGTTTTTCGATGGAGCTTTATATTCTATGCGAACGACATGACCTAACTCAAACATCCGTTGTGCTCATGTAGTTCATGTTATCCCGCCTTATAATTGGACGGGAATAATGTTCGTAATTTCTGTTTGTCGATAGAGTATTCGGTGGTTAATCTCCCGCCATACATTATTGGTAAAATTATGCACAATCGTATGAGTTTCGAATACCAAATTTAGATATCACGCCAGATAGGCAGCTACAATCAGTGCTTTTGAAAGTGAAAGTCAACAAAAAGGTGATGGCACAAAAGCTGCTTGTGCAAGAACTGAAGCCGTCTAACCTTTCCGTGCCAGATCGCTTCGCTCTATGAGTATCTTGTAAGGTTCTGAGAAAATTCCATTTCGAGCCAACTTTTGTTCAGCGATGGCTCCTTTACTGGCTCAATGGGTATGAGCAAAATTGGCGGATTTGAGAAGAAACTCACGAGCTGCCATTTGATCCAAATGATGGTTTTGATGCCGGTAAAAAGGTAACCGTCAATGGCTACCATCATCATTGATCATGATAACCGAATATTTGATGCCTGAAATTGTAGCTCGTGATCTCGGCAAGGTGTAGTTTCAACACAGCGGCATCACTTCCCACACATCGCATCAATCAATGGATTTATTGCGAGAACAGTGCGGTGAGCGAATAATATCACGTTTTAGGCTACTCGATTGCCCACCAAGATCGTGTGATATCACACCGTTAGACCTTTTCCTGTGGTAAAATGTAAAGCTCACAGTCTATGCGGATAATCCCGCTTCGATTTAGCGTGTCACTCGAATTGGGTGATTTTACATTCGCACTAATTTTATAAAGGAAATATAAATCAAGTGTCAAGTTTGTTGGACCCTTCCGCTTATTTTGCTTTTCATTCAATGCTTTCGTTCGATAATCTCTTTCCATCTAGATGGCAACTTCATAATACTCCCCTCGTAGAAGCCCCCCTCCTTACTTGCGAAAACTCGGACAGCCACTTTTCTCAAGCCTCTTTTGAGTTCAACTTTGCACCAGCAAGGGAGTTCGCCATGGACAGGAACAGGTGGTAATCATGTCCGCGCAATATGGTGGTTGCGATAAAACCTCAGATCCGAGCTCCCGTAGCTTCTGTTGAGTCATCAACAAAGTGTGTGGTCTGGCGTTGTCCTGGCGGAACACTACACCCTTCCGGTTGACCAATTCTGGAGGCTTTTGGTCGATCGCCTGCTTAAAGCGGTCCAGTTGTTCGCAGTAGATGGTAGAATTTAGCGTCTGGCCATATGGAAGTAGCTCATACTGGATGATTCCCTTGCAATCCCACCAAACACACAGCGAGACCTTCCTGGCCGTCAATCCCGACTTGGCCACTGTTTGGGACGATTCACCGGCCTTCGACCACGACCGTTTTCGCTTGATATTGTCGTATTTTATTTTATCATCGCCAGTCACCATCCGCTTCCAAAATGGTTCAAGTTCGTTCCGTTTCAGTAGCATATCGCAGGCGTTGGTTCGGTCCAGAAGGTTTTTTGCGTCAAATCGTGCGGCATCCAAACATCAAACTTTTTTGTGTATCCAACCTTCTGCAGATGGTTTAAAATGGTTTGATTACTAACTCACATCTTTTGGGCGACGTCACGAGATGCCACATGCCGATTTAACTCTATGTTTACCATGATTTGATCCGTATCCGTCAAAGGTCATCCGCCGGCTGATTTATCCATGGTATCGTTTTCAGCCGCTCTAAATTATCGAAACAATTTCTTTGCAGTTTCAATTGATAGAGTACGATCGCACAAAACACCATTAATGCCACGGATCGTTTCACTAACGTATTTTCCTTTAACGAAGGAAAACTTTAAACTAGCGTGAATTTCG